AATGTGAGCGGTTTAATCGCACTTTACACAATTTGCTGTGCACCCTCCCTACCTCTCGGAAAAGGGACTGGGCTTGTTATTTGCCACAAGTGATCTTTGCATATAACACCACAGTACATCAGTCTACAGGCGAGTCACCATTTGCTCTGATGTTTGGCCAAGATCCCCAGTTACCCGTTGACTTTTTGTTGGGTAGGATTCAGGAGCCTGTAGCTGGTAGCACCCATGACTGGGTTGTAGAGCACCAGACTCGACTACGTCATACATTTGAACATGCTAATAAACGCTTGGGGGCTGCAGCTAATTGGCGCAAGATACGTCACGACCAGCATGTGAGGAATGCTCCCCTGCATGAAGGTCAGTTGGTTTACCTTAAGGAGGTTGGGTTTAGAGGCCGTCATAAAATTCAGGATGTTTGGAGTTCGGTGGTGTATAAAGTGCTTAACACTGGGATTGCCAGGCTTCTACCGTTCTACCTTTAAAAGCCGGAGAGCAGTCAAGTCAAGAAGGCTTCTACCTTAGACCCCCGCGGAGTCATCATTTTGCGTTTCTACCTTTAAAAGCCGGAGAGCAGTCAAATGCTGGAAGTGGAAGCTAAATTGGCTAGTCATTCATATGTATATTGGGTTGTTACCTAGGAATTCTGGAGGGAGGGAGTGGGGGAGTGGAGTGTTTCGGTTTGCCATCTTAGGAGAAATCAACACACACGTCCTTTGTTGCTGACATTTATTGATGAAACTAGAAAAAAAAACCAACCATTTGTACACATATTTACAAATAATAACAAAAATTGAGTGAGTACATTTCAACATTTCAGCAATCACTCACAATCCTGGCACTGCCACGGTATCTGTCGTCTGCATTTACCACATGTGTACCTGTAGCAGTGAACACATCGCACAGTGGCCTGATTTTTTTGCATCTGTGTTTGACCTGACACGTGGCCCTTTTTCCAGGGCTCGGTGTGGAGGGTTGTGTCCGAAGCAACTGTTCTTTTCTTTCCTTCTTCGCAGCTACATGAGAGCGAGCCAATTCTGTTGCAAGCGCCACCAGGAAGTCCACCCGTCTTTCCTTTGTCCCGGTGCATGCTTGATACAGCACATGTGCATTCAGTGCTGCCATGTCGATCATGTTATAAAACACGGCAACTGGCCAGCGCCGTGTTCCTTTGCGGACCGTGTACTCCCGAACCATCTGGTCCATCACATCCACGCCACACTTTGTTTTGTTGTAAAGGGTGACAGTGTTTGGCTTCCTTTTGGTAGTGTTATCAGTCTGAACCACGCCGTGCATGCTGCTAAGAATATAGACTTTCTTCTTCCGTTTGGCCGCATATGCCGTCAGCGTGGCAGCAGAGGTTGAAAACACCTAAGAAATACGATAAATTGTTATTTCCATCGCCCTTTAGCTTCCACTTCCAGCATTTGACTGCTCTCCGGCTTTTAAAGGTAGAAACGCAAAATGATGACTCCGCGGGGGTCTAAGGTACAGTCGAAAAATGACTGCTCTCTGGGGGTTTAAGTGCCCCTGACCAAAAAGGGTCCGTGTACACTATTGCTCCGGTAGATAACCTGAGTCACGTGAAACATGTCCACCGTTCACTACTAAAGAATAAGGTGGAAGGTGTGACTACCTGCCCTCCCAGTGCTCTGATCCAAACATTAGAAACTGCCCTTGTAGAAGAACCGATGCAAGGTGGCGAGTGGTTTTTATTGGTCTCTGAACCTACTCCAGCCCCAAACAGTTGCCAACCAAGACCAGAGAATCCTAGCCCTCGTAGACCAGACGAGCTAGAACCCTCAACGTCCCCCATGGTGTCGGCTTGCACTGATCAGCTGCCAGTTATGGCTGGTGTTCATAACAATATAGCCCCTCTACGTAGGACTACCCGTGGTAATGCTGGGACGCACTCGAATCTGCATCATTTGGCCCAGGTAGCAGGAAGTAGAGCAATAAGGGCTGGGCACTCCCAAGCACCTGTGCCTAATACAGTTACCCTGTTTAGACCTTGGCAGTGAGTGTCAATCGTCGGGACGATGATTCAAATCTCGGGGGTAGATTGAAGTGAAGTAGATTCTGGGGTAGGATTTTATATGATGTCCACAAACGCACCACTGATATCCACACCTTCCCAGCTGATAATTAGCAGGCTTTAAAGAAACAGCTGTGCTTCACTACCAGAAGGAGGCATTTGGCAGTCTTGTCCATCCAAGGTGGCTGAGAGCATTAGGCAGTTAAGCGCTGCAGATCTCTCAAGGAAAGCTACTCGGTTTAGTATTGCCCTTTAGAGAGTGGTAAGTGGGACTCTTTGTTCATCATAACGTGGCATATAGTAGGGTGGACTTTGACAATTGTTTCCTTCCTTTGTTGCAGGTTTGCACTATACTGCTGTCTTGTCATATGCTGTTTTGTTTGTTACATGATGCTTTTATAACGAACAGTACTTTGGGGTGTATTTGTTTTGTGTAGATCTTTTATTAATGTGTGTAACGTTTTATGCTTTGTTTTATTGCTTTAGTGGAGGTGTGGCCGCTTGCTGAGGGGCTAGACACGTGAGGTGGAATCCCCTTCCTGATGCATGCGAGTGTACACACCGGGCATAGGTTGATTGCACCATTTAGAGTTTAGTGTAAGTGACAGTGAGGTCTGCAGTGAAGTTACACGGGTGAATAATTGGTGGCACCCTTGGGCACTCCTCCCTGTAGGTTGCCTCCTCAAGTGGCCGGTCTCCACTATTTTGTGTGGTTATTCTTTATCATGCTGTGATTGTTTTAGGGTAGCATCGTGGTAGGGAGTCTGGTCATTTTAATCATCGTTTGTTAATAAAGTGTTTTAAGTAACTATTTTGCCGTCTCAACCCTGCTACCCTAGGTGCCTTCCTGATTTTATAGTTATGTTTTTAGTAGTTCCTCTTAATAAATTTTGATTTGTAAACTTCCTTTGTCTCACCTCTGCCGTTAATAACGAGTCTGTGGGCTTTGGTAGCCAGTGCAATACGTACATTGGCTAGAGAAATCTTTCCTGGGGTGTAACGGCCTCCCCCAGGTGGCGTTGTCAATATCTTAGTTACCGTCCCCAGTTATTCCTCTATCGCGACACCACATTACGTTGTCAAGTTCAGGTTGTCATATCTGCGTCTTATGTTTCCTGTTTTATTTTTTAAGAGATCTTGTGTTCCTGTGTTCATTGTGTTTAGTTTTACTCTTCCACTGTGAGGTCGTTATGTTCATGTGTGTCAGCTGTTCCCCATGTGTTCCCACATCTCTCATTAGCCTCCTGTGTGTATTTAGTCTGTGCCTTTTCATTCAGTCCTTGTCGGATTGTCTGTGTTGTTCCCATGCCATGTCCTGCGTTCAGGTTTTCACATACACTCAACAAAAATATAAACGCAACACCTTTGTTACTGCTTCCATTCCCCATGGGATGGACGTAGAGACCTAAAATTCATTCCAGATACACAATATAACCATCCCTCCCAAACAGTGGTCACAAATCAGTCCAAATGTGTGGTAGTGGGCACATCTGCCATATTGAGATAATCCATCCCACCTCACAGGTGTGCCACATCAGGATGCTGATCTGACATCATGAGTAGTGCACAGGTGTACCTCAGACTGCCCACAACAAAAGGCCATGCAGATGGACCAAGCGAGTGATAGGGAGTCTGCCGTTGGTCAAACTGGTTGTTCTCTTGGTGCGGCATTGAGCGTCCCAACCTCTGAGGCAGAATCGACTGTGGCTCCACATGCTGTGTGTGACGTGTTGGTTTCCCAACATAATTTGTATAATTTTACCACTATATGATCACACTGCAAGTGTAAATGTAATCCTCAGAGTATTGGAGGATTCCTGTGAGGCTGACTGGTCACGACAATAAACGAAAGCATTCTAACTTGTTGCCTTTTTGTTGTGAATGCAGACCAGAGAAGACACTACACAGAGGTCACACTTGTCATTTAGACAGCTGTTAGCACATGATTCTCCTTATGGGGACCTGATACGTTTAATATGCTGATGAGAATACAGCCCAGAATAAGCGTATACTATAGCTTTTATTTTGGAAAGAGACATTTCTCTGTAATAAACTCTCTTTACCAAAGATGAGTGATTCCTCAATCAGATTTTTTTTTTATTACTTTGTTGTTTCAGCAACATTAAATTTAAAAACTGTACTTTTGAGTTAAAATATATATTTATAATTTTAATAAATGACAAATTAAAAAGTCATGAACATTTCTTTTTGTATCGAAAAAATATCGAACCGTGACTCCAAAGTATCGAACCGAACCGTGAATTTTGTGTATCGTTGCACCCCTAATATATATGTGTAATATATATGTGTCCTTAGTGTCGGAACAGAATTGGGGGAAAAAGCTTTTGAATAAGTTGCCTCTGGAAAAATCTACAGAAGGAGTTTAAAGTTAAAGAAGTGAGAGAATGGCTCAATTTGATCAGTGTGAATTTTGTCATTGTTGGTTTTATAATGACCTGTTATTTTATAAGATTCTTGATTCATTTTTGTGTTGTGTTGTGGTTTTGTTTTTTTGTGTTGTGTTTGTGTTGTTTTATAGGATTTGTGAATTCATGATTCATGTTTGTGTTCACTTGTCTGTGTGGAAAATTGTGTTTGCTTCTTTATTTGTCACACATTGTATTTGTTATAACTTATACATGACTCTGCTGGTCACTCTTGTAAAACGGATTTTAATCTCAGTGAGGTATTTACGTGGGCAAATAAAGTACACATGCAGTGAAGCACACACACTGTTTAGTAAAGTCATGTTGTGGAGCTGTTTCACTGATCAATGACTGAGTCTGAAGGAGGTTTTCTGACTTCTGGAACAAACCTGGAAGTTTCTCTTCAGCTCTCTGTATCAGCTGTTTGTAACTCTCAACTCTTTCAGCTTCTGGAACAAGTTTGTGTGAGCCGCAGTCAAGGAGCCACCAGAGGACACCTGCTAACCATCGGCATTATGGGTAGTGTAGTAGGAGACACTCACCTGACATGAAATACTGACGGAAATAATATATGAGACCTCCAAAAACCACAAGAAGAACCAGGAGCACAAGAACAGCTTTCGCCCAGGATGGAAACTGTTCTGTGGAAAAAAACACAAACAACATGTCCTTTGAACTCTGATCTCAATGTCCTGCACTGTATCATGGTTTTTATCTCCATGTCTGACCTTTGACCTGCAGCACTACTTTGTGTCTCAGGATGTCTTTGTCCCTGTAGATGGTGCAGATGTATTCTCCACTGTCTCTCTCTGTGGGGTATTCCAGGGTCAGACTGAGGTCTCCAGTTCTTAGCAGGTCTTTGTTCATCTTTGTGCGACCACAGTAACGGTCGTCCTGCTTCTTAAGGTGGTCACTTCCATTTGAATATCCATGGACCATCATGATTTCTCTGTCAAATCTTGTCCACTCCACTGTGGTGTCCTCAGGCAGGTCAGGTGTTGTTTTGCATTGCAGGATGACAGACTCTGATCCTACAACGACCTCCTCCTCCAGTTCTTGGTCTGAGAGGACAGTAAACCAAATTATAAAAATTGCATCTGGAAAGTTTTCCCAGTGTTTTACTTGTTCCACATTTTGTTATTCCAACATGGATTAGATTGAGTTTCACCTCACATTTCTACACACACAATACCTGGGGATTCCCATGATGCATTGAGTTTTTCCCTTCCAGTCACCTTCCTCACTCACTATGTGTTAATAGACCTCTCTGCATTGAATCATATCTGTTATTAACCTCTGTCTCTCTTCCACAGCATGTCTTTATCCTGTTTTCCTTCTCTCACCCCAACCGGTCGCAGCAGATGGCCCCGCCCCTCCCTGAGCCTGGTTCTGCCAGAGGTTTCTTCCTGTTAAAAGGGAGTTTTTCCTTCCCACTGTCGCCAAAGTGCTTGCTCATAGGGGGTCATATGATTTTTAGGTCTTTTTCTTTGTATGTACGATCTGCTGTACAATATAAAGCGCCTTGAGGCGACTGTTGTTGTGGTTTGGTGCTGTATGAATAAAATTGAATTGAATTTAACAATACCCCGCAATGACAGGCTACTGTTTAAATGATTGCAAATGTATTAAAAATAAAAAAAATGAGAATAACATGTAATCACAAACTTTGCTCAGTGCTTTGTTGAAGCAACTTTGGCAGCAATAACAGCTTTCAGTCTTTCTCAGTATGATGCTGCAAGCTTGGCACCTATTTTAGGCATTTTCTTTATTCTTCTTTGCAGACCCTCTCAAGCACCATCAGGCTGGATGGGGAGTGTCAGTGCAAAGGCATTGTCTAATCTCTCCAGAGATGTGTAATTGGGTTCTTGTCTGGGCTCTGGCTGGACCACTCAAGAACAAAGACAACAAAGTGGTGCCGAAGCCCTCCTATGTTATCTTGTCTCTATGTTTAGGATCGTTTTCCTGTTGGAAGATAAACCTTCAGCCAGTCCAAGGTACAGAGCACTCTGGAGGAGGTTGTCATCAAGGAGTTCTCTACACATTGGTGCATTCAGGAAATCTTTTAGTTCTTCCACTGTAAAATGTCCCACAACATGATGCTGTTTTTTCCAGACATGACACTTGGCATTCAGGCCAAAGATTTTTATAGTGGTTTCATCAGACCAGAGAATTTTCTTTTTCATGATCTGAGATACTTCAGGGGCTTTTTGGCAAACTCAATTCAATGCATACTGTCTCAGAGGTCTGCAGACAATTCCTTGGACTTCAAAGCTTGATTTGTGTTCTGACACGTACTGTCAACTGTTGGACCTTATACAGACATGTGTGCCTTTCCAAATCATGTCCAATCAACTGCATCTATCACAAGTGGACTCCAATCAACAAACATCTGGCAGATTATCAGAGGGAACAAGATTCAACTGAGCTCAAGTTTTAGTGTCCCAGAAAAGGCTGTGAGTACTTCTGTACATCTGTTAATTTTAGCTTAAATTAAAAAAAAAAAATTAAGCCAATTTTTTTCCATATTCATTATGGGGGTATTGTGCAGGAAGAATTTGGAGGTGAAAAACTGATTCCATCCATTTTGGAATAAGGCTGTTACATAACAAAATGTGGAAAAAAAGGAAGGGCTGAGAGTATTTTCCAGATGTTCTGTAACTAAAGAAGCAGATTCAGTCACATTGATTTTAATCATAGAATCGACCTGATCTGAGATCTGAGCATCTGTGTTACTGACCTCTGACTCTGCTGCCAGTAAAAATAAATATCAATAATAAAGTCATTAAAATCTCTATTCTGCATGAAAAATATCAGGAAAGCTTGTGAGCCAAAACTGTGCCAGGTCTTCACAGTACTACTGTTAGTTATCACACATAAGTAAGAGACCATGTGGGGTTATTGTCTGTCCCTATTAGGCAGGCAAGCTGCTGGTTTTCCTGCACATGTAAGAATTTCTGGATCAAATAATCCTGATTTAGAAGATACACCAAAAATTGTACCAATAAGATTCTATTTTCTTCTTCTTTGGTGTTCATGTTTTTATTTTTCCAGTGTGGTTGCATCTAGAAAACTTTACCACTATTTTATCAGATTTCAGTACTAGAAAATCTTTTATGTTACTCTTTAGTTTGACCTCTGACCTTCATAATCACAGGTGTTGGGTTTTGTACCTTTGACATGCAGCTGTATTTCTGCCAGTTTCCGTTCCTCCCTTTCATTTCCGATGGAGCAGGTGTAGATGCTGCTATCAGTCTTTGTTGGTTTTCTCAGAGTGAGGCTGAAGTCTAAAGTGTCCAGAGCATCAGGCCTCATTGATGTGCGCCTGCTGTAACGCTGGTTTTGCCCTTTCACATCATCTGTTTCCTCTCGTCGTAGGTCGACAGATTTGGGGTTGAGATCATTGCGAGTCCACAGCACTGTGGGGTTTTCAGGTATAAAACCTGAGTACTTGCAAGGCAACAGGACAGATAATTCCCCCTCATACACCTCCACCACTGGAGCCAGGGCATGCTGGGAAACTGGAAGGAGACACAAGCACACACAAAAAAAACTCTTATTATGTGTATGCAGTAGATTTTGTCCTTGGGTTGATATAAAGTGGTTTCAGAAAGTTGCAGAATATGTAACATCACTCTCAGCCATGTTTTATAAAAAGTATTCAAACACGGATTCTTCCTGTCCAACAAGCACTGAAAGGACATCAAAGATGTTAAAGAAAACTGATGGATGACTGAACAAAACTGAGGTGAAAGGAGGAAACCATCTCTTATTTTCTTGTATCGGTGTTCTTTTCTTATTGAAAATGAACACAGATACAAGCAGATCTGAGCTCAGACGCCTTCCTGTAATGAGACAGCAGGGCTAACAACGACACCACAGTCCATCAATTTGTAACAAATAACCTCACCATGCATCAACATCAAATGAGGCAGAAACACAACCACACAGAAAACAAACAGTTTATTAGTAAACAGACATCCCAGTGTTACAACACATAAAAGTGTCACTACTGACAATGTTACACACAACCGGCAACATAACCAATTTTCATCTGTATCATTGGACAAGTTTTTTTCTTTTCTTTTTGCCACAGTCGTTAATCTTGTCAAACGTCACTACTCTCTGGCAGGTTTGTGGTTCTATCAGTAAGAAACAGAGACGTCTGGAACACACAGATAGTTCGTCTTAAACAGATATGAACTCAGCTGTAACCCTGTGAGCGCCCTGCATGAAGTCCCAGAGGGGGTTATGAGGAATAAAGTCAAGTAGAGTCAGTTTACATCCAGTGAAATCATGTTAGACTTTATGTTGTCTAAAAGCACAAACAGCTGCGTTGTTGTGTTTGCATTCAAAGAGTGCGCTTACCGAGTACGAGGAGCAGGAGTGGCAGCAACATCTTCATCTCCAGTTAAAGTCCTGATAACAACAACATGCAGCTGCTGCTGCACTAAAGGTTTGGTCCTCTTACGATAACCTGATCATTTCCTGTTGAGCCTTCAAAATATTTATTTATTTATTTTTTCTTTTTACAGCGAATGACAGAATTAAATTTAGAGGAGAAACAACATGGCTAGATTGCTGTTTGCGGCTCTATGGGATTAATATTCTGCTGTCATTTGAAACTTAAATTTAGAAATTAAACTTTAAGCTTTACAAAACTGACAGTAGGATTTTAAGGTTTGTCAAAACATTTTTATACATTTACATCGTTTTGCATTTGAGGTTTCCTTCGTCACACCAGCAGCGAGGATGTGCAGCTGTTTGACTCACTTGTTGTTACAGTCCTGGACCTGTGGCCCAGTGTTTAGATTTTGTATTATTGTTTTTAGGCTGTTTTCTTCTATTGTTCAAGGTTGCTAGTTTTTTGGTGTCTGTTTTGTATTTCCGAGCCTGTGGATTCCTTTGCTCCTTATGTCACTCTGGTCCCTGTACTGTGTTAGTATTTTCTCTGAGTTCAGTCTGTGGATTTCCTGTTTTACTTTGAAGGTCTTGTCTCATGTTAGTGTATTCTGCTTTACTTCCTTGTCTTGTCTAGCCTAATGACTTCCAGCTGTCTGTCCACCTGTTCCTGTACCTGCCAGTGTATTTTAGTCCCTGTCAGTCAGTACTTGTTGTCCTGTTGTTAGCATCATTTCTCCCTCCTGCTGTGTCTTTCCTGATGTTTTCTTGTGTATTTCGGTTCTAGCCCCAGTTTAGGTATTCTGTTTGGTTTTCCTTGGTAAGCAATAAAGCTGCTTTCAAGTTCATGTTTTGCCTCAATGAGTCCACCGTGTGGGTCCTCTTCTCCTGCCTGCACAGCACACACCATGACACTTGTCATTTTTCAAAGACACAACTTTGTTTCTTAGTTTTTTTTTCTTTTCTAAAAGTTAAAAAATAGAAAGAAAAATAAAAAAGAAAATTGAATTAAAATTTTTTTATTGAATTGAATAATGAGAAACTTTATATTTAATTCTAATAAATGTTTGTAATTTGAATTTTTAAGTTTGTTCTTAAAAGTTAAAACAAATCTCATATCTGAAGACTTAAATACTTAAATACAACACTGAAATAACCACAAAAAAGTACTGTACCATAAGAAACTGGGAAAATTCAAAGTACCTAAATCACAAACTGTAAAATATTCATTAAACTAAACAGATCATCTGAGGAAGCTAAGGTGCTGGTCATCAAAAACATGGTGGATCCCCAAAAATATCAGTCAGCAGCATGATCTAGACTCTAAACAAGTTAACAAACAACCACACAAATCACTTATGAACACACTGAAAGGATCAATTAAGCTACATCTGGAAGAAACAGCTGCATCCATCAGACAGAATTGAAAACATTAAACTACAGGGAGTGCAGAATTATTAGGCAAATGAGTATTTTGTCCACATCATCCTCTTCATGCATGTTGTCTTACTCCAAGCTGTATAGGCTCAAAAGCCTAGTACCAATTAAGCATATTAGGTGATGTGCATCTCTGTAATGAGAAGGGGTGTGGTCTAGTGACATCAACACCCTATATCAGGTGTGCATAATTATTAGGCAACGTCCTTTCCTTTGGCAAAATGGGTCAAAAGAAGGACTTGACAGGCTCAGAAAAGTCAAAAATAGTGAGATATCTTGCAGAGGGATGCAGCAGTCTCAAAATTGCAAAGCTTCTGAAGCGTGATCATCGAACAATCAAGCGTTTCATTCAAAATAGTCAACAGGGTCGCAAGAAGCGTGTGGAAAAACCAAAGTGCAAAATAACTGCCCATGAACTGAGAAAAGTCAAGCGTGCAGCTGCCAAGATGCCACTTGCCACCAGTTTGGCCATATTTCAGAGCTGCAACATCACTGGAGTGCCCAAAAGCACAAGGTGTGCAATACTCAGAGACATGGCCAAGGTAAGAAAGGCTGAAAGATGACCACCACTGAACAAGACACACAAGGTGAAACGTCAAGACTGGGCCAAGAAATATCTCAAGACTGATTTTTCTTTTTTTTCTAAATGACATCAGAAACAGCAGTATGCGATATTACGTGATGGCAGAGCTTCAGTTCATCCTTTGTCATTTTTTTAGGTCAAAAAAAAAAAAGACTGATTTTTCTAAGGTTTTATGGACTGATGAAACGAGAGTGAGTCTTGATGGGGCAGATGGATGGGCCCGTGGCTGGATTGGTAAAGGGCAGAGAGCTCCAGTCTGACTCAGACGCCAGCAAGGTGGAGGTGGAGTACTGGTTTGGACTGGTATCATCAAAGATGAGCTTGTGGGCCCTTTTCGGGTTGAGGATGGAGTCAAGCTCAACTCCCAGTCCTACTGCCAGTTTCTGGAAGACACCTTCTTCAAGCAGTGGTACAGGAAGAAGTCTGCATCCTTCAAGAAAAACATGATTTTCATGCAGGACAATGCTCCATCACATGCGTCCAAGTACTCCACAGCGTGGCTGGCAAGAAAGGGTATAAAAGAAGAAAAACTAATGACATGGCCTCCTTGTTCACCTGATCTGAACCCCATTGAGAACCTGTGGTCCATCATCAAATGTGAAATTTACAAGGAGGGAAAACAGTACACCTCTCTGAACAGTGTCTGGGAGGCTGTGGTTGCTGCTGCACGCAATGTTGATGGTGAACAGATCAAAACACTGACAGAATCCATGGATGGCAGGCTTTTGAGTGTCCTTGCAAAGAAAGGTGGCTATATTGGTCGCTGATTTGTTTTGTTTTGTTTTTGAATGTCAGAAATGTATATTTGTGAATGTGGAGATGTTATATTGGTTTCACTGGTAAAAATCAATAATTGAAATGGGTATATATTTGTTTTTTGTTAAGTTGCCTAATAATTATGCACAGTAATAGTCACCTGCACACACAGATATCCCCCTAAAATAGCTAAAACTAAAAACAAACTAAAAACTACTTCCAAAAACATTCAGCTTTGATATTAATGAGTTTTTTCGGTTCATTGAGAACATGGTTGTTGTTCAATAATAACATTATTCCTCAAAAATACAACTTGCCTAATAATTCTGCACTCCCTGTATACGGATCACACACAGGAATATCAAATACACCAAGAAAACAGCTTCTTCTCTAATATCAATAATGACTGCTGCTATTATACAGATGAACAAACAGGGGATTCAAATTGAGAATAAATGGTCAGTTTTCCAGTTTAACTGTAGAGGTCTATAGATTTTAATCATATCAAGGAATATCTAAACCAGTTTTCATATCCACTCGGTGTCATTGCCTTATCTGACACTTTGATTAATATGGATAAAGGAGCAGACTTTGAACTGGAGGGTTATGAACTCAGGTGTATAATTCAGAGAAATAAAGGTGGAGGAGCAGTGGCCTCAGTATGTGGACAAATGTCTGAAACTGAACGTGGTGATGACAGCGATTGATGATGTGTTAAATGTATAACAGTTTAAACCTAAGTAATAATCTCCAGGTAGTAAAACAACATACTGTGTGAGCCTGTTCTCTAAGATTAGCAGAACCACATCACATCCTGCAGCTCTCACAGACACGTTTTTATAAATGACATTGAATATAAAACAGGAAGTGGACTTCTCATTAGTGACATCAGTGACCATCTTCCAGTTTCTACAGTCTGTGATGCCAATTACAACCCTAATAATTTGGACAGAAATAAAGATTACAGACAAGTAAGAACAGAGGAAATGATAAATGCTTTAAAAACAAATCAGAATTTTAAACAAAGAAATATGAGTAATGAGTTTTCTATATTTTCAATATCAGTGTTTAAGTGACTCATCAGGAAGTTAGACCGCGGCGAGAAGAGAAACTGTCAGAAAACAACAGAAGTGGAAAAGTGTTAGAAGTAATAATAGTGGGGTAAGAGTGGGAGGCGGAGGAA